GCATTGACTCTGCTGGAGGATCTTCAAATGCAGATACTTAATCCCTTGCCTCTCAGCTATTCCCTAGAGATAGGGTCAGGAAGGGCCCATGGTGTCTGCTGTTCTGCTGAGGGACAGAGTGGTGGGCAGATGTCAGGGTGCAGGCAGAAGGCGAACAGGACTGGGCTGAGCCACTAAGAAGGAAGGCTTGGCTGTTTGCTTTCTCTCCTGACCGTTGTGGACCTGACCCAGGGGTTGGCCAGTCGATTCCCTTCCCTACCTGCTTTGACACCTACCTTGCCACCGGGGAGCCATCAGGAAATAGTCTTAGACCCTTTATTTTTTTAAACATATTTTTGACTTAGGTATTTCACAATTGATGACACACATAATTTTCATGACTTTATTGTTTGAAAATTTCATACATACATACATACATGTTTTGATCGAATCCACCTCCCATTCCTTTCTTGTCTACCACCATCCCAACTTTTCCTCTCAACTTTATCTGCTCAGTTTAAACCCCACTTTCTTCACTTAGTGGGGCCGATGTGGGTATGCATGGATGCAGGATAGCCTCAGGAGAATGGAAAGCTGCCCAGAGGACACAGCCCTGAAGAAAATCCAGTCTCTCTCCCACAGCAGGTAACCTTTGCAGTACTTCCACACCTAGGGGTAGGACCGCTCCCCCAGCATGCTGGAATTTTGGCTGTCTGGATCTTGTGAATATCTTGGATAGCCCCTGAATCTGTGTGTTCAAGGCTTTGCCATGCCTGGCAAATACTGTGTCACTTCAGAGATCTGCTTCCTCTTGCTCCCCAGTCTTTCTGAATTCTCTTTGGCAGTGATTGCTGAGCTTTGGAGGAAGGGGATGCATTAGAGACGTCCCATTTAGAGCTGAGCACTCCACAGTCTCTTATTCTCTGTCTGCATGTTGAGCAGTTGTGGGTCCAGGTATCAGCCACCATCTACCAGAACAAGAAGCTTCCCTGGTGAGGGTTGAGCAGCAAAGTAATTTATGGGTATGAGATAACTTAAGAGGCATTTTATTACCATGTTCATTTAGCAGGATAATAGTAGTAGGTTTTCCTCGAAGGCCTGTGACCTGACTAACCATAGGTTCTTGGCTCAGTTAATCATACCAGGTGTGACTTCTGTCTTGTGGATCAGGCTTTAAATTCAACCAGAAAGTGATTGATTACTCTTATAATATTTGTGCCACTATTTCATCAGTGGCATGTCTTGACAGGGCAGTAATTATTGTAGCTTGCTTACAGGGTTCAGAGCTGGATAAAACTTCTGATTATGTACCAAGCATAGAACCTTCTAACACTGTGAGAGCTGACTAGTAGGATGAAGCTTTTTGGTCAGTATCAGCTCGATCCATGTCCTTTGTGTGACTCACTATGTCTTTAGTGCTTGGGTCTCACCATCAGCAGTGTAACCAAGAGCAATGCAATGGACTCTCAATGTTCAAGGGAGGGTCTCTGGAGCCCCACTAAACATCACCTTATACCTGGCACATACCTGGCTCCTTCCCAGCTATCCTTGTATTCTTGAGCTGTGGTTGGAACGTGGAGTCAGCATTGGGCAGGTGAAATGTGGTTGTCAAGAGCTCCAGTAGGGCAGAAGATCCACTTGCATGATTCCCACCCTGCGCCTGGCCCAGTAAGCTGAGAAAACTCAGGGCTACTCTGCTCACTGATGTGGCAGGAAATCCTGAGACTTGGCCCTTGGCTGCCTTCAGTGATCTGTCTAACTTGCAGGAAGTAAAGGAGAAAAGATTTACATAGAGGTGTGTGTCTAACAGAAGGTTCAATTTAGCTTCATTACTGCCAAGACAGGGTTAGGGTTTATGTATACCCTCCCATCACTCTTAGTTAGACACAGTAACTTCTAAGTCATTTGCACCCCAGCTGTATCCTCATGCTAATGACTACTAGGAACTTTGTTTCTAAACTCTGGTCTACAGGACCGTTAGGCTCTGTCTTGTTTAGCTAGAATCTAGCTTTAAGAAGAGACTTCGAGTTTTATTTATAATGTTTCACCTCAAATCCTGCAGGATTGAAAATTGATACATAGAAAATTGTAACATAGAACTTGCTACAAAGTACTTAACCATCAAGAGTTAAGGTAAGAGCCCAGCTCTGACTGAGCTTTGGCCTGGGCAATACAATACTTCCAGCCCAACTGAGAGGGCTTTCAAAACCATGATGGTAAGGAGTGAGATTCTATGCAATCACCTTTCCTTAACCTTCTTTCAATTGTTGTTTTTAATCTGCAGATTTGTTTTTTAAATAAGAAAAACTGAGAACACAAAAAGAACATATCTGTTTGAGTGGAGAGAAATGGATTATCTATTTTGTTAGACCTTTTCCACCAATACACACATCAAGTATTAAAAGGGTTAATAATTACTGATACAAATTTAGAGAAAATAATTTAGAATATTCTTTTTTTTTAGAATATTCTTTTTGATGCCAAGAAAATTACAGAAATGCTTTTAGAAGTTTCTGTCACTTTGTCTTTATTCCTAAATCACATGTTCACAAAGCAGTACTATAACTGTACACAAAGCCATACTGTAACTTCAAGTGACACAATATACATCATTTTAAATAAAGTTTATCTCCAGATTTTAATATAAGAGTTCTTTTTATACATTATACATTCCTTTTTATACATTTTTATACATTTTGTGTGTGTGTGTGTGCTCAAGCCTGCCTGTATGTGTGTGTGAGTCTGTGTGTCTCAGCTGTGTGTCTGTGTGTGCCTGTATTTATGTGCTTGCACCTGTGGATGCCAGAAGAAGCATGGGTGTTATTTTTCAAGAGCTGTCCATTTTGTTATATGGAGACAAGAGTCTTTCAATGGGCTGGGGCTTGAAAATTAGACTAAGCTGGCTGGCCCATGAGCCCTGGAAATCCTCCCTTTTCTGTTTCTCCAGTGCTGGGCTTACAAATGCTGCTGGCTACCACACCCAGCTTTTCATGTGGTGCTGGGTTGATCATCACACTTTTGTGGCAAATATTCTCTGCTCTGAGCCTTCTCCCGGTCTAATAACTAATAGTGTCTATAAAGTATATTTGCTGTATTGAGGGATACATTGCAGCAATTATTTCTTCTCTATTTAAAATAAAGAGGGCTGAGATTAGGAATTATTTATGGCCAAGATGACTGAGAATTTGGCACTGTCTTTCCTTCTGTCCTCTTCTATAGAGGCCGTACAGTTTGTGGATCTTAGGTCAGAAGTCTTCAGCCTGGCTCATTAGTTTTTCCATTTGCTCAATCCGTGGTGTATCATTCAGCAAGTTACTCACCCGCCGTGTGCCCCAGTTCTTCATAACTGAGCACTTACGCCTACCCCAGCAGGGAAGCTGTGGAGATTTATTGATTTCCTGTAGGTAAAGCTCATCCAAAGTGCTGGGTAGGTGTGTAGTGTTTGGTGTTATCACTAACTTGAAAGGAAGAGATTGAAAAAGTGCCATTCATGTGCCAGTAATGCCAGGATTTCCTATTGTCCACACTGGTGCTAAAGAAGCTGATTAAAGGAACTAAAAACATCTGGCATCTTCCATCCTTTTCCCAAGAGAGTATGATACTTTTGAGAACACAAAGTAAGGTGACTTTGACAAATCCTCATTTTCACTACAGAATAGATGATGAAACTTGTTCAAGTAAGAAATCAAGCCTAGCATGTCTGTTTTTACAAGATATTCTAGAATATTATGTTGGCCAAGTAGAAGATGCTAATGGTAAAATTATAAAACAGAAAAATTAGCATTTGCTAATAATACTGTCTGAAATGGAACATTTAAAATGATAAGCTGAAAATACTATAATTAATAAATTGAAAGAAAATGAGCTAAACAAATGTATCACAGATTAGTCTTCATATATTTGTACATTACCAGTATTGTACATTTGCATATAAATTATTTCATGGACATTAGAAAAAATTTAAAATAGGAATAGGGTGAATATTTCTAATCTGCAATCCAAAGTCTGAAGCACGTTGAGTGTTAACATGTGAGCACAGGTGGAAACTATTACACCTGACCTTAGACACCCTGAAAGTACCTCGTAAAAGCACCTTCTGACTGTACTGTATTTTAGAGACATAAGTGGATTTGTTTAGACACTGGTGCTGTCTCCACCCATTTTATTATATACAAGAGATATTTCAAAATAAAAAAAAGATTAGAATTTGAAACACTTCTTGTCCCAAGCTTTGAGGATAAGAGCTCCTCCCTTTGTACTAGCTGATAGAATTTTTCTCAAGGGTAATTGAAAAGTGATTGGAATAACTGTGTGTGTACTATGTTTATGGAGACTAAGTCTACAATCTGCATTCTGCAATGATCTTTGTACTTGGGCAGAAAGTGAACTGATCTGTGATGTGCTCTGTGTTATTGTTAGCCTTGCTCTGAGTCTTTCTTTCTCTGCCTCTTATTTTCTCCTTCCATTTTATATTTACTATATCTATAAATAATAGTGGGACTTCCCATAAAACAAATCCAGGCACTGAGGTAGTTAAAAAGAAAAAAATGGTAGTGGTTACTTTGTGTATCTCAGTTGTAATTCTGGCTCTACTAGTCATTGTGGGTTTTTGTTCTAAGGTATCTTTATCTATTGATTCTGTTGCTGTGAGGTCTTTTTGTAATGGTTTCCATCTAATAGTTCTTGTACAATGTCTGGCAATAATAGGACCTCATGTATTTTGCAGACTGAGTGAGTGAGTGAATAAAAACTGTAGCTAGAGCCTGAGCTGGTCTGTTGGTGTTGTGTAGGCTTAGCCTCAGTACTTTTTTTGAAGGGTCAATAGTTTCTCCTCAATGCTAACATGCTAAGCCTGGTTCAACTTTTTCCACAGCTCAGGCTTTACAAGTTTATCTTGGGAGTGTTTGTGTGGACTGCAGCCATTGGGCTCTGAATGTGCTGGATTTCATTGAAGTGCTTATCTGTAAGGAGAAAACATTTTTTTATGCTAAAATAATAATGTAAATTTCTTTTTCTTTCAGCTTCCTTTGCAGCCCTATTGCACTGGTAAGATTGTTTTTCTTCAATGATATATATTATGCAAATGTTTATAACTTACAAACGCTATATCCCATGTATTTAAAAGACTAGCTTCTGTATCTTAAAGGATGAATGTATCTTATTTATACCACAATCCTCTGAAAGATTAGTTTAATTGATAAGTCAGGATCAGAATAATAAAACTTTTATATAAATTTATCCATTATTAAAGAGGCTATATTTGATACTTTAATTTACTTAACATTAATATGGTGTGCATGTTGAGCATTAGATTGATGTTTTTAATCTTTTGGGTGGAGAAATGTCTGCATTTTGTGAACCAGGCAGTTTCTGAATAGTACCCATGCACATTCAGTGTGATCTATGGTTTTATAGTACATCACTTAAAATATTGTTATGCTTTATTTTAATGTTAAAATCTAATTGGAATATGTTTTCTTATGGAGAGAATTGTTGAAACCTGGTAGAAAACAAATATAGATACAATCGTTTTTCAGTTTTATTGCAAACTGTCGACAATCTGTAGGACTGCCCTCTTTGCTTTTGGAATAATCTTCAGCCCTGTTGCTTTGCTGTTTTAATGTTTCCAGGAGCCACATAACGCACCTCTTTGAAAATGATCGGCATTTTTCTCACCTCTCCACACTGGAAAGGGAAATGGCTTTCCGCACTGAAATGGTTAGTTTTGTGTGTGTATAGTATTTCATTGTAGTATTTTGGAACTGAAAATATTTCAAAGCTCTTTGACATGAAAGGTCTTACCAACACATTTCCAAGTAAAAGGAGTAGATGTTAGTATACAGGCATTCTGCTGGCCTGCCCTCAGGGACCTGGCAATTGCTTAGGACACGCCCTGCCACTGCCAGGTGCAACAGGTGTGTGCTGAGTACAAAAGGACCACCAGCCACTCCGTAGCTCTCTTGGCGTTCTCTCCCTTCTCTCTCTGCCCCTGTCTGTCCTCATGGCTCTACTCCATCTGTCTGCCTGTCTACAAGTCTGCTTGCTTGCCTCTATTCCTTCCCACGCCCTCACTCCTCTCTCTTTCCCAATAATTGCATGGTGCTGTCCCCAGGGGCACACCTTGGAAGGTGCCTCTGCCACACTATATTTCATGACAGTTCCAGCTCATCTTGTAGCTTCAACAACAGACAGCACCCAGCCTTCCACACCCCCTGTCCATCTCTGTAAAGGACACTAGGCTCTTGCACTAGTGCCTGCTAAGATCCACAAAGGACTTTTCATCCTTAGCGATTTCTTAGCACCATCAAATTAAAACTGGTGTTTGAATGAGCTGATTGGTACTTGACAGCAGTTGATAATGCAAACTGTTTGTACTTGTGTTTAGCTGCTGTATTGCTGAGTCCTTTGATCTCTAAGTCCCTCTTTCTGTTTGTTTTTCTACCATTTATCTATTGAGGAGCCACCTGTCTATCATCTATCTGTCTGTCTGTCTGTCTGTCTGTCTATCTGTCTATCATTATCTATTTACCTATCACCCATCTATCTTCTATCTATCATCTATCTTCTATCCATCTATCTATCATCTGTCTCTGTCTGTCTATCCATCTCTCTACCAATGTCTCAACATACTTATAGTGTACATATATATGTTACATAAATTTGTCCATTGTAACTCACATTTTCACTTGATTCCCATTTCCTTTGTCTTCTGAAAACTGACAGATAATGTGACTCCTTTTTAGGTAGGAAAAATTCCCAGCTGGTACTTCACACTGTTACTGTAGTGTTTAAGTACACACAGCGTTTAAGGACCTGTTGCCTTCTCAGATGATCATTCTGGGGAGCAGCTTAAGGAATGGTCTGGCTGAGTCCTTCTTAGTGCCCAGCCATCCAGGTAGTTCACTCATCTTGTTGGAATACACACTTGTCATTATTTTTCTTAAAATGCTGACTTGTAACTCTGTAAAGAATTTTCCCTCAATGTGACTTCAGTTTTTTTCTGAGGCTTACTTCTTAGTGAAAAGACAGGAAAATGATCAGTTCTTTTATTTACATTTTTTTTTTCATAAAAATGAATTCATTCTGTCACATCTTCTAGTCAGAATCAGCGGACTCATTGGCCCATATTGTATAACCTTTGGTGTTTGGAGCTGGCCATTGTCTTGCTGTTGGCTGTGCTGACCCTCAGTGTGACCTCACTAGTGTTTCCTTGGTGTCCAGGGCTTTCTTATTTTGGGGTACTGCATGACAGCTCCTACGGAGGCCTTCAGGCAGCCAGCTTTCCAAGGAGCCTTAGTTCTTTTCAGTTGCAGATGGCATATAGAGAGCAGGCCTCTGTGCTGCTGGAGCTCCTTTGCTACTGCATGGGCCACTGAGCCTTGGATGTTTAGTGAGCAGAATTAGCAACCTTTTTTGTTTTTTAAACAAAAAGCAGGAAGTCATGAATTTATATTAAGATTTTTAAAAATAAAATTAGAATATTATCTATTTTCATTTATATTAAATTTGCTTTACTCTGAGAGTATTAATTCCAAATTATTTAATAGAATGAAAATGTCAAATTCATTACTAGAAATATAATTATTAAACAAAATTCAGAGTTTCCTCATAGCCTGTCTTGATGCTATGCTGTGCTCCACTTAGAATGCCTGGTAGGATTACTTGCTATTCTCTTCCAATTCGATAAACAATTAACCCTTTTTCTTTATTTTTGTTACTTAAATATTGAAAGTTGTGTGTTTTGTGATTAAATAAAATGTTACTCTATTTCTAAAGTGACACTCACAGAGCAGGGTAGTTGCAGTAGGTGGCTTGAGGGGCCTGGGGGACCTTCAGTAACAGGGTCGCCCAGGTTGAATGAAAACGGTGGGAATCTGCTTTTTGACGGCTCAGAGTCTAGAAGGGAGCCAGTCAACAGGCAGACTTTCTGAGGCCAGCTTGGGTTTGCTGACTGTCTGTGTTTCCTTGGTGTGTTGCTGCGTCGCTCTTCAGTCTCTGCTTCTGTCCTCTTCATCGTTTTGTTCTTCATGTCTTTCCATCTGTCTTTCCGTGTCTTAATGTTGTGTTCAATTAAGAGTCACCATAATCTGCTCTGTCCTTACTTGAACTTGATTATATCATTAAGAACCCTGTTCCCAATGAGACCATAACCACCAGCTCTGGCCTACAAGAAAGGTTTAGAGACCTTGTCAACTTAATACAGTAGGAAATATAATTTTAGAAAGGATTATGTGAGACCTAACTCCAGGCAGAATCAAACTTCCCCTCTCTGGCACATTCTGGATAGTAGGAAAGTTACCTTCCTATGTTCAGGGCCTGGCAGGCTGTCCCACTCCAGTGAAACTGCAGAGAAGGTGGCATTTGCCCTCTATCCCTCTGTGTCCTTTACATTGCCTCTCGGACTTTGCCTGAGCTTCATGGACTCTGAGGGGATTTTGTGATTAATTAATTAATTGTTTAACTGCCTCAGACTGATTTTGTAGTTGAGGATGACCTTGGACTTCTTGTCCCGCCTGCCTTCATTTTTCAAGTGCCGGGGTTACAGCTCAGAGTGCCCTGTGTACTGGGCAAGCACTGAGCCACATAAGCCACATCTTCAGCCCTGCCTCATTGTGTATCATGCCATTTCACCTAGTTACAAACCTTTAGAAAGTAGAAAGGATAGGAGCTCTACAAGGACCAAATATATCCGGGCACAGGGTCTTTTCTGAGACTGACACTCAACCAAGGACCATCTATGGATATAACCTAGAACTTCTGCTCGGATGTGGCCCGTGGTAGCTCAGTAACCAAGTAGTTTTCCAAAGTAAGGGGAACAAGGACTATTTCTATCAGGATCTCAAGGGCAGGCTCTTTGACCCCCCCAGGGGAGGAGCAGTCCTGTTAGGCCACAGAGGAGGACTTTGCAGCCAGCCCTGAATATACCTGATAAAACAGGGTCAAATGAAAGGGGAGGAGGTCCTCCCCTATCAGTGGACTTGGAAAGGGGCAGGGAGGAGACCAGGGAGGGAGTGTGGGGTTGGGGAGGGAATGAGGGAGCAGGATACAGCTGGGACACAGAGTTAACAAAATGTAACTAAAAAGAAAAATAAAATTAAAAAAAAAAAAAAAAAGAAAGTAGCATGTCTCTATAACATTCCTATTTCCCTCAACATACAATTGCTCGCAGTCCCCAGGGTTCACTCTGTACCAAGTTTCTATGGGAGAAAATGATCTGTAAAATTATTGTTTGATAGGAATGTGTATAAAATGCAGTCTTTTAAAAATCACATTTGCGTTTTTGAATATAAATTTGAAGGAGAAAAGGTCGATGTCAGTTTGAGTATTGAATAGACTTCATACATTGCATGCACTGAATTACATGTATACATATTTAAATTCTGAAACTATTTTTGAAGCTATTTTTCCATTTAATTATTTCAATTAAGATGAAATTCTGAAATGTACTTTTTTGCAACCTAAGAGTTTATAAGTGATCAGAAACCTGTGAAATTAATTGTAGCTATTACCTGCTTGAGTGCTCAGTTTTTCAAAACCAGTGTATTTTAAATATTTGTAATCTAAGAAGTTGAATAACTATGTACTTTTTATTGTAACTGGAGCATATCCTTTTTTTAGGGGCTTTATTATTCTTACTTCAAGACTATTGTGGAAGCACCCTCATTTTTAAATGGAGTATGGATGATAATGAATGACAAGCTGACTGAATACCCCCTTGTTATTAACACATTAAAAAGGTTTAATCTTTACCCTGAGGTAAGTTACTGTTATCAGTTGGGATTTTTTTCATGGAAAAAAATGCTTTTTAAAAATTAAATGTGATCCTAACTCCTAAGTTCTGATTCACCATACTAAATTTTATTTCAATTTTTAATAAAAAATAAGTGCCATGGGAAGGATTTTATTGGGGGAAATTTTAAATCTCTGGGAACTGTAATTGTGGTTGCATTATTAGAAAGTGAGGGAGCTCTCTACATTTGTTGAGTTCCTAGCAAGAAACAATGACTATCACATGTCATTTGTCAGACAATCCTTTTCTCTGTAGGGTATAATCCTTCCCTGTCTAGGGTAACATCCTCCCTGTCTAGGGTAACATCCTTCCCTCTCTAGGGTAGCATCCTCCCTGTCTAGGGTAATGTCCTTCCCTCTCTAGGATAATATCCTCCCTTTCTAGGGTAGCATCCTCCCTCTCTAGGGTTGATTATTGAGTAAACAGTACAAATGCCCTCCACAGTTCAGTGTTTTCTCACAAACATGGAATATTTTTAAATATTCTTGAATATTTTCTGTGACTATATGCAAGTAGACTACAAAAATGGGATTAAAACTGTGCAATATTTTTATGTGTGTGTGTGTGTGTTTTGTCTTTTGGCTGTGGTATTTGTGTCCACCCTCTCTACGACTTCCCCTTCATTGTGTATTTTTTTTTCCAAGACAGGGTTTCTCTGTGTAGCCATGGATGTCATCATGTCATTTGTAATGGCTGGATGCGTGATGTACTATTGTGGTCTTTAGCTCATTTTTTATGGGCAATTTAACTTTTCAAACTTGTGAACGTTCTAAGCAAAGTGGCAGCAAACATCCATGAATCTAAGTCTTTATTATACACATCTGCCTTAGTTAGGTTTTAGTGCTTTGACAAAACACTTACAACCAAAGGGAACTTGGGTAAGAAAGAGTTTATGTGGCTTATCTAATGGAAAACCAAATAGGGATTCAAGGCAGGAACCTGGAGGCAGGAACTGAAGAAGAGACCATGGAAGGGTGCTGCTGATTGGCTTGCTTCCCATTACCTGCCCACAAGGGGCACTGCCCACATGGGCTGTGCCTTCACATCCATCACTAATCAGGAAAATGCCCCACACACTTGGCTTACAGGTCAATCTTTTGGAGGTGTTTTCTCAGTTAAGATTCTCTCTTCCAAGGTAATTCTATGTTTGTGTTTAATTGACAGAATCCACCAGCAAAACATTTATCATGTTTTTTTTTTTTAACTATAAATTTGTGAATATAGACCTTCAGTTTAGCAGAATATGTATTGTAATGATTTGGGGGCATATTGCCAAAAGCCTTCCACATAGGTTATACCGACTGAATCCCTGCCAACAGCAGTTTGGGAAATGCTGATTTGCATCCTTGCTATTTTTAATAGATAAGAAAATTGTAAGTACTATATGTATTTTATTCAGTTCATGTATATGTATGCATTTCAGTGCTATATAAATATCCATTTTTATTTTGAAAAATTCCTATTTTTGCCCTCTTGTATATGTTTCTATTGGGTTTCTTTAAAGACTCATTTTTTTATACATAAGATTTTATCATTATGACATTAATAAAATATTTTTGCTATGAATGCATATTTTTTCTATGCAACATTTTATGCTCATATTAATTTATGACTTCTAACCATGCATGTAAAATATTTATTCTTTATAGTTATATATTTATACTTTTAACTTATTTGGAGTTTGTATTGATGCGTTTGTAGAATACTATTTTTGTCATACTCGTCTGTGTAACTTACACTGATGACAGGCCTGTTTCCTCTGCACTGATCTGAAGTAACTTTCTTTTCTATGTGCATAATTAGTGTACATATCAATGACTCACCTGTATTTGGATTTATGCTCAGTATTGCCTCATTGGAGGTCCTGAAAGTAAACTCTGAGGTAGAAATTTATTTGTAGCAAGTGTATCAGTGCCCTTGGGTTTATACCTGAGGGAGGTTGATGGAGACAGAAGGAGGTATAAAAAGGAGTTGAGCTATGATGGAGTCTCTTCAAAAACCCTAGTGAATCTCATTCATGGGTTCAATGGGCTGGGGTAGCTTTGCACAGTTATGCTTCCTCTGGCAAAGGCCCCTGAACTATATATTACTTGTATTGATTAGCCTGTTCTAGGATGCAGTTTTTCCTGTGTGACCTTGAGTACATTACTTTCTTTAGCCTAGAGCAGATCTGTAGAGTTGACAGCTGTCAGCTACCAACCATCTATTTGAGCAGCAGCTGGGGCTGGGAGTGCCTCTGTCTGGAAGGTGGACCAGCTCCTGCCCATTGCCTTCACATAGGGCATCAGTCCATCTGGGTGTGCTTCTACCAGGGACATACTATTTCAGTTACTTTCAGTGATAGACCTTTATATTCATTAGGACATTCTCCTTTTATTCTTTTTTTTTTTTTTTTACTTTCCTGGAATAATGATAGGTATTGAGAATTTGGCTAGGATTGTTTTAGCTTTACAAACTAATTTGATATATGAATTTACATTAAATATATATAGATTTGATTACAAACATGTATACATACATATGTATATTTTGTTGTTGTTGTTGTTGTTTAGGTCTTTTATGTTCTTTGATAGAATTTTATATTTTTGAAAAATGTAATCTTGCAGATTTATTTCCTCTCTTCTCACTTGGGCATCACCAATCAGACTTGACTACTGAAGGGTCTGTGGAAGAGGCTGAGCCTCCTTTAACTGGACGTAGAGGGAGCCAAACAGGTGACGCGCAGAAAGACATTAAAATCTCTAAAACATATTCTAGTAATGAAAACTATTTTTTTTCTTTTATAAAAATTTTAGGACAGGGTTTCTCTCTATACCTCTGGCTGTCCTGGACTCTCTCTGTAGACCAGGCTGGCCTCAAGCTGTCAGAGATCCACCTGCCTCTGCCTCTCTAGTGCTGGGATTAAAGGAGTGTGCCACCATTGCCTGGCTTGAAAAATATTTCTTATGACATCTGAATTTTCTTTGAAAAGGTGATCTTAGCCAGTTGGTACCGGATTTATACCAAAATAATGGATTTGATTGGTATTCAAACCAAGATATGCTGGACAGTTACCAGAGGAGAAGGACTCAGTTCAATTGAAAGCTGTGAGGGTAAGCTTTTTTCCATGTTGTCTACTTACCTGCTGGACTAAGTAGACTTACTCCATCCCAAATGGTATAAGTAACAGCCATTTTATTATGCTCTTGGTTTCTGCCACTTGCACATTTGGGCAAGCTGGTTTGCTTCCATGGTTACCAGGTAGCAATGGTACCAGGCAGCCATACATGGCTGGGGAAAGTGGACTAACCAGAGCTGTTTTAGTCATATTTTGGTCCTTCGGCTCATCTAGTTCAGGTCTCCCCAGGGTGTCTACATGTCACCTTTCCATGGACTTTGAGCTTTCTTATAGATAGGTACACCACAAAGTACCTTGTAGTTGTGCTCTTTCCAAAGTAGCTTCACTCCAACTATCACCGTGCCTGCCGCTGCCCTCTTCCCAGAGGCAATGGTGCTGCCTCCGCCTTACTCTGCTGCAGCCCCAAACTTCCTTAGACAGCACATCAACAGTGTGAAGCCCTGTTTTAGAACAGCATATCTGAATAATACTATTCTCCACACTATTCTGCATTCATGTCCTGTTTTCATATGGGAACCAAGGAAACCATTTATCTGGCAACCGTTTCACACTAAGCACAGTTTAATGTAAATTGCTAGACTCATAACATAATTTGTGGCTAGAACATATGTTTTGTTTATTTTTAAAGGATTGGGAGATCCTGCTTGCTTTTATGTTGCTGTAATTTTTATGTTAAATGGACTAATGATGGCATTATTCTTCATATATGGCACATATTTAAGGTAAGAATATTTTAGTATGTATTTATAAAATATAAAAAGTAATTAGTTAATAATTATTGATAACTTATTGTTCAGTTTTAATAATGTTTCTAAAATATCTATTTGTGGTTAGAATAGGGTTTCTTATTTGTTTGATTTCACTATTGTTATGGCAATCACATTGTAGATAATTTTAGAGTATTGGTTCCTTCCTAATGCTGTGACCCTTTAATACAGTTTGTCATGTTGTGGTGATCCCAACCATAAAATTATTTTGCTGCTACTTCATGAGTGTAATTTTGCTACTGTTATGAATTATAATATAAATATCTGATATGCGACCCCAAAAGGGGCACATCCCATGGGTTGAGAACCACTGTTTCAGAAACTTTAATAGGGTATGGTAGGCATATGTAGTAAATGCTAATGATTCATAGGCATGTGATCATATGTAATATGTATAATTTTCATAAAATATGGAAGCATCATTTATTATCAAATGATAGTAATGGCTGTTGCTTTGCTGCTGTTAAAGCATAAGGGTATTCCACACAACTGTTTGCTATCTGCTTAGCTTCACAGTCAAGCAGTGTTCCTGTAACTTCAGTAATGATAGTGTTTAAAGGTTTTGTGTTTGCATTTTTCTTTTTATTTTGATGATGTATTGCAATATGCGTGTATGTGCTTGTCTGAACTACTGTTTGTCTGAACTATGTGTGTGTGTATGTGTATGTACGTGTGCATGTGCATGTATGAGGATGCACAGGAATGTCGGGGTGTATGTGCATGTGTGTGGAGGTAAGAGCAATGTTGAATGCTGAGGCACTTCCAAATTTTGAGACTAGGTTTCTTGCTGGCTTGGAACTCGCCAAGTAGGCTGTGTTGGCTGACTGGCAAGCCCCGGGAATCCCTCTGTCCCCTTTTCCTGAGAGCTAAGATTACAAGCTTGGATCACTCACCTTTTATCCTGGGTTCTGGTGGGTTGAACTCAGGTCCTCATATTTGCAAAGCAGGCAACTTGATGTCTGGACCATCTTCTCAGCCACTTGAGCTATCTGACCTTGAAAGTGTCTCAGATGCTTCTTCGTGCTGCTTGCAGCCTGTCTGTAGTGCAGAACTGGGTGCAACTTTCCACTTGGGTTAGTGGAAGGGACTTGTGTTTGCTCTCTGCCCTGTGATTTTCTTCGCATTTTCGGTTTAACTGCTTGAAGACCTATGTTTTTAGCTCAGCGTTTAAGTACACAGCAGTTACTTGATAAATGCTTATCAAATGAAGAAGCAACTAAGTCGGTTTGAGATATAGTTGCATATATATTTAAAACACTTACAGACACACTACCATATTTAGGAGACTTGATTTAAGTAAGATAAATGCAAAAATGGTGTTACTACTAGTCCACTTGATAGTTCTGTTTTGATTATTGACTCTCTCACCCTTTACTAGAGGAAATATTGATTTCTTACCATGCTTGTTGTGTAACTTTTTTATCGAAGGCTAAAGGCATAATATTTGGAAAGAAGATAGAAGGCTCTCATCTGATTGAAGGCACTGGCCCTGTATAACTTTCTTAATCTTTAGCCCTAACTTTTCCTGATAAATAAATACTTTTCTTCATATATGGGCAGTGCATGTTCAGTTGTTCAGTCAACACCTAAGATACATGCTAGGCAGCCTCTTTCTTAGGACTGTGGCCTGTGACAGGATGTGAGCAGGCAAGGTGGGAAGTGAGGATGGTGGCATTATGCACGTTAGTGGAACACAGAGGAAGAAAGAAAGGGAAAAAGCCAAGAATCCTGAGGCAGAAGAAGTTTGTTCTGATGGAAGGGACACTGTAGTCAGCCCTGAAACATAAGAGGATTTGGGTAGGTAGAAACAACCAGAACACAACTCCCAGAGCGAGGCAGGAGTGGGACATAAAAGATGTGGAAGCAGACAGAAAGGTGACAGTTTTACCTGAGGGTCATGTTCTCCAGGGGTGAGGAGGCAGAGTTGCAGCCATGGGTAGGCTGGATGATGGCCTTAGTGTAAGGCTTGTTTTAAGCTTTTTCTAAAGTGAATGGAGTAAGTTAGAAGTTTTAACAAGCAGTGGTCCATGATTCAGGCTGAGCTATGATCTTAGAGGGTCCCTAGCTGCACCTGTCCCCAGAAGTACACAATAGACACCCAGCACAGTATCATGCTACAGAGCACCACTTATTATTTGTTTATTTTAATTCTTTATTAATTATACTTTATTCACTTTGTATCCCCCCTGTGGTTCCCTCCCTCCTCCCATCCCAATCCCTCCCTTCCTCCACCCTCTGCATGCATGCCCCTCCCCAAGTCCATTGATAGGGGAGAACTTCTTTTCCTTCCTTCTGATCCTAGTCAATTAGGTCTCATCAGGAGTGGCTGCATTGTCTTCTGTGGCCTGACAATGCTGCTTCCTCCTCAGGGGGAGGTAATTAAAGAGCAGGCCAATCAGTTGATGTCAGAGACAGTCCCTGTTCCTATTACAATGGAACCCACTTGGATACTGAACTGCCATGGGCTACATCTGTGCAGGGGTCTTAGGTTATCTCCATGCATAGTCCTTGGTTGGAGTATCAGTCTCAGGAAAGACCCTTGTGCTCAGATTTTTTGGTTCTGTTGCTCTCCTTGTGGAGTTCCTGTCTTCTTTGGATCTTACTGTTTTCCACTTCTTTCATAAGATTCCCTGCACTCTGCCCAAAGGTTGCCCATAAGTCTCAGCATGTGCATTGATAAGCTTCAGGGCAGAGCTTTTCAGAGGTCCTCTGTGTCAGGCTCCTGACTTGCTCCCTCTTGTCTCCTCCTTCTGATGTCCAGCCTCTTTGCCTTTCTGGATAGGAATTGAGCATTTTAGCAGGAGTCCTCCCTCTTGATTAGTTTCTTTAGGTGTACAGATTTTAGTAGGTTTATCCTATATTATATGTCTATATGAGTGAGTATATACCGTGTGCATCTTTCTGCTTCTGGGATAGCTAACTCATGATGATCTTTTCCAGATCCCACCATTTACCTGCAAATTTCATGATTTCCTTGTTTTTTATTGCTGAGTAATATTCCATTGTGTAGATGTACCACAATTTGTGCATCCATCCCTCCACTGAGGGGCATCTGGGCTGTTTCCAGCTTCTGGCTATTACAAATAAGGCTGCTACAAACATGGTTGATCAAATGTCCTTATTGTGTACTTGGGACTCTTTCGGGTATAGGCCTAGGAGTGGTATAGTTCGATCTTGAGGAAGTGCTATTCCTAGTTGTCTGAGAAAGCGCCGGATTGCTTTCCAGAGTGGTTGTACAAGTTTACATTCTCACCAGCAATGAAAGGGTTCCCCTTTCTCCACAACCTCTCCAGCATGTGTTGTCTCTTGAGTTTTTCATCTTGGCCATTCTGATGGGTATAAGGTGAAATCGTAGGGTCGTTTTTATTTGTATTTCCCTGATGGCTAATGAGGTTGAGCATTTCTTTAAGTGTTTCTCTGCCATTCGATATTCCTCTATTGAGAATTCTCCGTTTAGCTCTGTACTCCATTTTTTAATTGGATTACTTGATTTTTTTGGCTGTTTAACTTCTTTAGTTCTTTATATATACTGGATATTAGTCCTCTGTCAGATATAGGGTTGGTGAAGATCCTTTCCCAATCTGTAGGCTGTTGTTTTGTTTTGACGACAGTGTCCTTTGCTTTACAGAAGCTTTTCAGTTTCATGAGATCCCATTTATTGATTGTCAGAGCACCACTTATTAAGGAGCTTTGAAATCAGTTTTGTAGGTTGACTCTCCAGTTTTTGTTTTTTTTAAGTATGTGTATGTGTGTATGTTTAATGGAAAAAGTATTTTGGGAGCTGGGGAAACTTGCTTTTCAAACATGGAGACCTTGGTTTTTCACCAGAAACCCACACGTATTAGTTACTGGGACAAAACACCATGACCAAAGACAGCCTATGGAAGAAAGGGTTTATTTTGGCTTATAGTTCTGGAGGGATAAGAGTCTTTCCTGGCATGGAGGCATGACCAAAAAAAGAAAAGTGGTAGACATGGCAGAAAACAGAGGAAGCTGAGAGAGGGAACTGGAAGTGAGGGAAGGCTCTCTGTTCTCAAAGCCCACCTCTACTTTCTCCAGCAAGGCTGTAGGATCCCCCTAAACATCACCACCACCTGGGACCAAGTTCTCAAATACCTGAGCCTATGAGGGACATTCTCATCCAAGCCACTATACCATATTGGAAAAACAGACGAAGAGGAAGAGGAGGGGGAAGAGGAGAAGAAAGAAAGAAGGAAGCAAGCGAGCAAGGAAAGAAGGAAGGAAGGAAGGAAGGAAGGAAGGAAGGAAGGAAGGAAGGAAGGAAGGAAGG